AGGACAGAACAGATCTCACCTAGAGCAGCTCTGCAGGGAAACAACATCTTGATAACAAAGGTTTCATCACTGATTGCGTTCATGCTTATCCAGCTCTACTCTGGTAACAAAACCTATGTTTCTGCTGTGGTTTTACTCATATGAGACTAGCAAAACACATAGTTCTTGGACAAGAAACACCTAGGAACATGAAGTGATGCACCTAGCCTTAAGGGTTGCAGGAGGAAAATTCCTACTAAAAATTTCTGGCCTGCTGGGACAAGCTCCACATGAAGACAGTGGGGTAGATGAGACAGGACTTATCCCTTTATCTGCCAAACCTCTGCTGCTGACAAACACAAATGCAAAAGCAAAAACCATCTGTACCCCATGCTGTATTGTTACGACTGACTGCCAAAAAAGACACGTTGTGATTCACTGACTGAGGGATTTTTCTGACATACAGTAAAATGGCTGGTGGCATTTTATTTTTTTTTTCCAATTAAGAGACACTGATGCTGTGCCTGCATTGCTAAATAAGGCAGAGTCAGTGAGCGAGCTTATTGCTGGGCTGCTGATCGCCTGGGCTGACTCTCCGTCAGCACGTCTCAGCCCAACCATCCCCTCTGGGATGAGAGCATGGGTAAAACCACTCCTTTTGTGGCTCCCTCCCCTCAACACTTTCCCCCAGCACCCTCCTGGAGAACTCAACACCCCCAAGCACCCTGGATGCCCTAACACCGTGCCTGCGATGCACACCTATACGCTCACGCAGTACAGGTACCCACCCGTAGCCTGTTACACACATGCATTATTTCAGAGCTGGAGCACAGCACTTGACCTGTTTTATTTAGTGGTATGAAGGTAACTCAAGTATCCTGTCTATGGGACCAGGAGAAATTACAGTTAGAAAGCATGCTTCATCAAAAGAAATCTGCCTTCTTCCTGCTCAACTTGTTCTTCCTAATTTCAGTAGATCTTCGTAATTACACATTCATATAGCACTTTCAAAAGCACCCTACTTGCTTCAACTGCAAAATTTGCTACTACTTTCTCTAGCATTTGTTACAAAAATCAGTTTCATTCTACCTCTGTGTTTTGGCTCTTTTCTCTTCTTTTCATTTCCTTTTATATATATATATATATATTTATATTTTTTTTCTTTTAGTAATGGAATGTATGCATTCAGCAACTACAATTTGATGCCACAAAACCTACCTCTTCTATGATTTTTAGCACATAAACTAAGAGATGAAAATCTAAACCCAACACAGTTTGAGGACAAAAATGTAGGAGTTGTATATTCTGCATTTTTAAGCACCATTCTAGATGATCAATTTAACCTCAGCCAGGAGTTAGTCCCACTTCTCTCCAGAGGTTTGCAAACATTTTGACCTGACATCAGACATCTGCAATGTGCCATGGCAGTGCCTGTGTGCCAGACTCCTCGAGCCTTCAATTTTTCATTAAATGCTTGAGGATGAATGCCTAAAAATCCTACTATCTAACACAAAGGGGTTTTGCTCATCTGCTCTCTCAGCGTCAGGAAACATGAACAAAAATTGCCTTATGTGTGAAAAGGGAAAGTAGAAAGGATTTCAGCTAATTAGAGGCAGATCCACTCCCAAGCCTGTTCTCTGAGCTCAAGTCATTTCTAATTATAAAATTCCTCAAAAGATAAGAACTGTCCTGCACACAACTGAGTGCATAGTGCCTCCTATGACCATTGAGAAAACACAGAACAGACTTTGAATTCATCTGGGATTTTGGGTGAATAACTGTCAGAGAGAATCAGAGAAAGGTCTTACAAATGGTTTGGAAGGTCAAAGGGAAAAGTGAACTCCAGTGTTGAGGAGCATGTGCAGGAAGAGACGTCTCATTATAGAGACATGACCTTGAACTATGTCTGAGCATTCCTTGCTTCCAAACTAAAACTGACTTCCTGCTTATGAGTGAGGAGCGTTAGAGAAAAAGGACAAACACATAAACAACTGCATTTCCTTCCTCTTCCCCCTTTCTGGTATTTCTGGACTTGAAGTGCTATTTATTTTTGTTCCTGTTGCTGTGCCAACAGGTAGCAAAGTTGGGATCCAAAAAGTATGAAGGCAGTTCCATCTCAGCTTATTTACGTATCGCCCAAGAGCTTAACTGAAAAGCTTCGGATAGACTACAGAATGGCAAAGCAATAAGGTTTTTGTTGTGGTTGTTGTTGTTTGTTTTCTTCTGAGGAGTTAAGTATAGCTTGACATTAGGTTTATTTAGGCTGCAGATAGTGCTATTAGAAGCCAGGTTGCTTAGACTCCTCTCCAATTCAATAGTAATCCAATTCAATATTATTAAATTAATATTACTTAGAGGTCTTAAAAACAACAACAACAAATGACAGACAACAACAACAACAACAAAGGAGTTCAAAGGAGTGAACAGAGTTCACAACATAAGAAAAGGAAAAGACAAACTGTCTTGCTTCTTCTGCTTCAGAACATGAAGTATGAAGAGGCAAATTTTGGCTTACAGAGCATTCATGTCATTCAGGCATTAATACAGGACTACAATGAAAATCAGGATAGAATTTTGTCAGAAGGGACTCAAGAGTGTCTTGAAGTAAAGAACACAGTGAAGGAGATGTTTCAGAGATTTTTAATTTTTTTATAACATAGTGGAGATTTGCCTGATACTACATTGATTTAGGGTAATGAGATTCATTGCCAACACCCAGGGAATGGACAGCATTTTTCCAGCAGCACAACACCAGAGACTCACTAGTCCATTAGCACCATTTAAAAATAAATAAATAAATAATAAAAAAAAAATGAGAGCTTGCAACAGAATGGGAGCAAACAAGCCTTATTTTTGTCTATAGCCTCGGTGGGGCTGATGGGGAAACAATCTGTTTTCTCTGTAGATGCACTTCTGGGATCCCCACACTTCCTTTGGATATCATCCATTTCCCTCCCACCCACCCCCCTTGGAAATTAGGACACCTTGTGAACTCCTTCGAAAATATGGAGGAAACTGTTGTGAAGCTTGCTGGTCACAATCCAGCTTCTGCATTGGAGGGAAGCTAGAAAAATGCCTGGTGTATAATCAGGTCTGATTTTAGAGCCTGAACTTATCATGCTTACTTGAAAAAACTTCAAGTGAATGTGTATTGACCACAAAAATAAGGCCATTACTCTGAAAGAGACAAGTTACATTTTACCTCAATATCTCTGAGAATAAAAGGCTATATAGATTTTGGCAAGCAGAGCCAGATATTTGTGAGTGTCTCTTTAAATCTTGCTTAATAGATAAATGACACTTGAAAGTACGTTTTATTGCAGTTGGCATTTTACCTAAGGTCATAACAAGTTGCTTCTCTAGTAAAATGTCTTTTTTTCCTAACCACAAGGATATAACTCAGACTCTTGGATTTATAAAAATAAAAATAAAAACAAAAATAAAATTAAAATGTTTAAGTGTTAAAGCAGCCCTCTGGGAATAAAAGTAGGATTTCCCATCCAAGAGAAAGCAGTCACTTCAGTGTGCTGAACTGGCAGGACACCAAGGCCTGTAGTACTTCCTACAGACAACTTTCCAACACAACCCTTGAAAGAAAAACTCACTTTTTCACCCATTGAGGTCATCTATGATAACAGCAAACTATAAACAAAAGGAAAACAAAACAAAGGAAGTCTCTTTGCAATGACATGAGCTGGTACACTATTAACTGGGAAAGAATGAAAATAAAAAGGCAGCATACAAGCAGATACAGGCTCTCTGCCGTGCAGAACCTTGCACCCACATTTTCACAGCATGATGCATTCAGCTCCAGAATTGTTTCCCATTGAGCTCTCTGTGAACAGTGTCCAGGAGGAAGGGGCTCTTTGTTTTCAATAAGGGGAGCAGAATCTGGCCCTCTGTAAAACTGTTTAGATCCAAGGATTTGTCTGCAAGCAGAAAATCACCTTAGCTTTTAGCCAGTTGCCATCTGGCAGTTCATTTAGACCAGGGCTCCCTGTGATCAAAATGAAACATTCAGTCTCAGCCTGCTTTAGCAATTGCTTGCTGTATCTTACAGCTGTTGTGCTTTTTGGGTTCTTGTTAGGCTTTTGGTTTTCCTGTGTAAACTTGTATCAAAACAGTGCCAGTGATTAGCAAGCTGCAGTACCTGCAGAGTGGCACATACACCCGACATGCAACAAACTCTTCCTGCATGTATGCGTTACACCTTTTGTTCAGCTCACGTACTTGAAGCTTTAAGTTCTGCCCAGGAATTTGTGCACTCTGAACTGCAGCATACACTTTCAGGGAACTCCTTCCTACTGTATGCATGCATCTTTACAAGTGTGGCCAACATAACAAAGGTAATTAGGAAATGAAGCCAACTGGGTTTTAGGCACCTGGCCAACACCAGCACTGTTGAAATCCCAGTAGGTGTTTATCTACAACCTGCAGCTCCTAAACACCTTTGTAATCTGTCACTATTTGTGCCAAAGAGAATATTTTGCTGAAACACTGCAAATACACTGGTTTGGTTCATAAAGTTAATGTACACATAGGGTTTTATACCCACTGGGGAGCTGCAGGAGTTCAGGCATTACAAAGCTATCCCCACTGTCTGGCCCAGGAGATAAGGGGGCAGGTTCCAAAAATTTTGCCTACAAGCATGAAGGCAGGCACAGGCAGCAAAAACTATGGCAGCACGCATCCATGCTCTACTGCTGTGAAGTCCAGGAATCCTGTTCCAGGTAAAATCCAAATTTCATGCAAGCAAATTTGCTAAGAAAATACATTGAAGATGTGTCTCAGGCACACAGGTTCAACAACAAAGCACTTTGTCCCCTTTCTGAATTCCTTGCAAGCAGTTGTGGGGACAGTGCATATAGTCTTGGCTGCTGATTGGCACCAGGCAAACCAAGAGCTTGTCCAGCTTGTGTTCAGACAAATTGCCACATGAAAGGAAGCAGATGAGCTGCTAGCATCCTGGCCTTTTGTGATATAGATGAGGAAAGGAGGTCTTCTAGCATACTTCCCCTTACCCTGCAAAAGCCAAATGCATGTTCCCCATGCCTTCATAAGAGATAACTAGTAGCCAAGCAATTCTAGAATAAAATTACAAATCCCAGATTGTTTCAAACCATCAGTGAACCTGTCCTTGCCACTACTGCCCCAATAAGAAAATGCTTAACCACCTATAAAGAACAAGCTGAAAACACAGTCTCTCTCATTAACATTTTTGATGTGATGCCCATTTGGAGTCAGGAGAATGCTGTATAATTCTCCAGACGAAGGAGAAACCACAATCATTTGACTTAGAATGTTTCCTTCTTCCCGTAGCTCTTGTGTACATTTCTTAGCTCATATCCCTAAAAAGTTTTTGTTTTTGTTTTCAATACCTACATTCCCCTTTACCTACCTACCCTCCTCATCACGTAATGGTTTTCCTTTCTTAACTTCCCCTCTGGAGGATGGTGCCAAGAATGCACTCCCTGCAGAATTCATAAAGACTTTTATTTTCATTTTAGGTTTTTAAAATCTTCTATGGCTGTACATTCCAGTCATATACATTCTTTACACCCCTTCATTATTTATACTGAGTCCCAGTTATTACTGAACATTTCTTTTATTCCCTGCCATAGACTCATGTACTTTTGATTTCTGTGGAAAAAATGAGTGAGGTCTTCAGAGCAGTTGCACTTGATGGTCCAGATTGCTCCTGTTTTCTTCCAAAATCACCCTGCAGTTTTGTCTTTTGGTCTTTTACTGCTGGATCTTCACTTCGTTACGGTGTTTTTTATGCACCATGGTATGGGAGAACATCTGGTGTAGAAATTCATCTTCTGAAGATCACCTCTGAAGACAGCAGTCCTGATTCAGTACTCCATGTGGTTCCATTTTGCCCCAGGATGCTACAGTCTGACCAGCAATTCTGAAAACCTTTTTTCCTGATGGCTGAAATATTATCCATGCTTTACCTTTAACTTACAGTAAGTATTGGTAAGGAATTTCCAAAGCCATTAATAAAGAAGAAGCTTTAAATGGGTTTCTACAAGCACAGAGAATCTCACGTTCTTAATGTCTTCAAAATTTACCGATCACTGATAAAAAAATAAAGGTAATATCAAAGTTATGTCTGAAAAGGTATTCTCTAAAACAGGCAAGTTGAGGTGTATATGTTTGTCTTGGTCAATGAAATGCTGTACTTTTGTAATTCAGCCCATACTTCACTTTGGGGATGGGAGGACATGGGTGGTTAGAGTGATGGAGGAGCACACCACTCCATGTTGGGGTGCTGGCTCCAAAAAACTTTGCAGATACTGATTCTGCAGTTTTCTACAGTCTCTCTCGCAAGATCCCTGTGTTTTCCAGCGCTGCTGAAGGAGCTGAAAGGATTGTGTCACCATGGGCAGAAGTAAATTTCCAGAGAAGGGTCAGCCATGGGAAATGAGAAGTTTTGATGAGAAACTTGAGAAGTGGAGTACTAAATGACCTTCTGTAAGAAGTTTTAAAACTTTTTAAAACATACAGTTATTCATTAGAATACATAAACATATACACATACAAATATAGATATAGATATATATTTTTGACACTGTCTATATGGGAAATCTGTCTTCCCATATATACCTGTCCAATCTCCACCCTGTATCCCTCTCTCCACCACTGTCTATCTGAGCAAACAGCATTCTCACGCTGTATCACCTCCCAGATTTACCCAGCAGCACAGGGCAGATTTATGTAGGTATCACCCCATGGACAGCCTATGCCACAATGGTTACTCTGCAGTAGCCATGTAGGAGAGGATCCAGATCCCTCTGTACATTATACATTATACCTCACATTCCTCCTCCCATTATGGAGCAGTGCTGGCCTGTCACCATGCACCACAGAGCAGGAGTTTGCTTGGACCAAACCCGTGAAGCATCCAGCAGACATCGCCCCAATGGCAGGAGAGGGCTCACAGGATGCAGCTCCAATGATGTGGAGGGCACTGGCTGATGATGCCTTGGGATTTTCTTGCACTGAGGGCAGTTTTCCAGCAAGAGGGGCACAGAGCCAAACCTCATGGTGCAGAGGACTCTGCCGAGGACTCAGTAGGAAGGGAGGTCCTCCCCCAGACCTCTGGGCAAGACGTACAGTCTGTCCTCTGGCACCAGGAAAGGAAAGACGAAGGCACCCCATCTCCCACTCTGACGTTCATGGTTTAATTTCAATGTTTGTGTGTTCCAGGTGATTGTTATTCCCCCCAGTGTTTGTAGCCTTAAAAAAAAAAAAAAAAAAAAATCAACTTGAGAAATACTAAGTTAATTATTGTGGTTATTCAACATGCCTCAGAAGGGAACCACACTCCCATCACTCTAGTTCTTCTGGCTGCAAGTCTGTTCCCTCAGCTGCTTTGAATTTTCAGATGGTCTTAGCCAATTATGAAGATATAAAATGATGCAAGGACTGTAAACTCTTTTTACAGAGAAATGAAGTGAAATGCTTGTTTCTTCTACAGAAGAAGCAAACAAAAGTTTGGGCACTTGCTTTACACTGAACAAATAAATGAGGTACAGTGCATCAAGCCTTACTATATTTGAAATGTGTCTTTATAAGGTGTAAGCAGGAGATTGTAAACTGACTTCCCTTGCTAAAATTCCCAAGTAAGAATTTTATGTGGCTTGTTATTAAATGTTTAGTCTGTATAAGATGAAGGAAGAACTGAGTCCTCCCAGATTCTAAAAGTGACATGTAAAATGGATGAATCAGTTTATTTCTCATGCGTCCTGAAGTGATCAAAGAGCACCAAAAATGAAAGAAAAATCAGAACAGAATCATTTAGGATAATGCTATAAAACACCCTTCAATTCATTACAGTAACCTTCCATAGTATGCACATGAGGAAAATGCCATGGTCTTCCTGCAGTCATACCTGTCAGATACTGCAATTAGCATTATTAGTGTCTCCACACAAGCTGCCACAGAAAAAGTCCAGTTGTCTTTCTATGTAGAAAAGGAGCCAATTATTATTTAATATTCTGCTTAGACTTGAACCCCAATAAGTAAGAGGGCCTGCTTTTCCACATCATTACGGTTGGCTCAAATACAGTGCTTTTGTACTCCATCAGAGCCTGGTTTGGCAGGTTTAAAATAAAATAGAGCAAAATGTGCTTGCCTAATGTGCTTTTTCTCTGATTTTTTTCATTAGCTTGGGTGGCCACTTGTCAGTAGGAGGCAGCAGGAATAATAGTTTGGTTTGTTGGGAGCGCATTGTTTATAAAATGTTCTGAATTAGAAACACATCTACAGATTTGGATGGACATGATTACAAACTAGAATGCATGTAAAAATGTTACCCCAAAGGGCATGTTTGTCATTTGTATTGAGACTGGTTTTGTCCTTTACCACATGAGTTAAGACAGGGTTTTAAGTTCTGGAATTACACTCATCAGCTCCACAGCACATGGAATGAGAAAGCCAGCAGTAGTAACACTGTGCTTGGCTAATAAGCTATAGGATGAAGTAGTAGAAGATCACCTGAACAGAAAAAATACATTCCTTCTCACCAGCCTTTGTATTCCTTCTTCTGTCAATAGGTCACAGCCTGGTGTGATCATGTAACTGTGATAAGCCTGTGCTTTACTGATATAAGTATGAGCAAAGAAAGAGATGTCAGGAAACTCATGTGAGTTTCCTACAAAAATCAGCCTTCTTTTTTTTAGATCTATACAGTTTTAAATATTAGAATGGCTTTTTCAATATAACTGAGTGATGACCATTGGGTGGATGGGAGCAACACTCCCAGCTGGCTTTCCTGCTGCACTCCCAGTGCTACCACCACTGCCGGTCCAAACCACAGCGCTTAGATCAGGTGTTCTGCAGCTGCTCCTTCAGCTGTCTGGCAAAACCTCACCCATGAAGAGGCACAGATCCCACCTGTGCCATCACATATCCTGTGCCCATCTTGGGCTTCTCACTGCCAGCCCTGAGTAGATCCAATGTAGAAAGCAGGTGTAAGTGCCCAATGTAAATTTGTTTTTAGATCAGCCAAATGCCCAGGCAGATAACACCCTCCTTGAAAAACACCTTTCCACATTCTCTAGAAGAAAATATCTTAAAGTTTGTTTTGAGATAGTATTTCAACAACATTCTGCTGAAATGAAATGAGAAATGTAGGCATGTATATGCATATATTTTTTCTTCTTTTTCCTTCCTCAGAGCAAATAAATCAAAGCCCCAGTTCTACCTAACACTTTTATTTCTGCAGTACAGTTGGCAAAGAAAAGAACAAATAAGGCCTCCCTACAGTTATTTGTACATTTTTTAAATGACCTCCCACGTGTAATTTATAATATTCATGAAAATTACCCTGACATTTTCCTATTCATTTATTAAACCCCAGGAGACCATTACAGCTTCTAGCCACTCACACAGAAAGTCACACCATTTCTCACACATTCCAAGTGGAGCCAAAAGATGCTGGCAACCCATCAACTACAGAGCAAGCCTGTGAGCATATTTCTTCCAAAATGTGTTTTTCTTACATTAAGATGGTGTGAAGATTTCTAATTCTTGCAGAGAAACAAAAACAGTCTGTAAAAATTCAGCAACTTGGTAATACTTCAGCATTCTGATCAGAGTCAAAATGAAAACAAAGAAAGGAAGCTAAGTAACAGCAACAGCACCTGCTGTCCGAGGTCCCCAGCAGTTATACAATCAAAAGGAATAAGCAGATCCCATCCCAAGCAATAATTTTCAAAGCAGACCATTGAGAAATGAAAAAGAAATACGGCATGCATGAAAGGCACCTGTCTGGCATCAGCAACAGAACTGTAAGAAAGCAACAGGCAAATGCTTGTGTTTCAGTGAAACACAGGAAATGCAAAACAAATATAAAAATACTGTCATTGACAGATGGGTGAGAGTTACAAACATAAGAGAAACTAGAAAACAAGGGCTGCACAACTAGTACACAGATAGATATAAATCAAGAAACATATTTTGACACTACCAAACAAGACACAAAGGAGGGTGACAAAGATTTCTTCCAAGCATCGCAGATAGCTCAGGTCTCTGTCAAAAGCTTGCAAGAAAATTTGCCTTTTGTCAGTATTTTTTTCTTTTCTGCTCTTCCTGCTCAACAATACTAGTGACAGTAAATTGAAGGAGGAGAATAGAAATTATTGGGCACAATATATTCATTTTGAAGCAAGGAGATTATGCTGTTCAACAATCTTCTTGTCAAAACAGCCAAGAATGGAACCTGATAAATAAAAATTATCATTTTGCCCTTAAATATGGTCCTTCCACATCTTTGCAGGGAGTGGGACACCGTGAATTATGTCGGGTATATTTTACTCTATTTATTCCTGACCTTTCATTTTACTACTTACTAGGGACTGTTTTTCTTAGGGTCCTGTTGCAAATGTATCTGGATGTACAGCTCAGTGAAAAGAAGAATTACCAGTGGGTTTTACCTGCCTGTACTCAAGCTTTCCTTCTTCTTTTGGCTTTGGCTGGGAAGGATCTTGTGGCTTAAGTGACCAATCTTTCACACAGAAAGGTCACTTGCATGAGGGACAGCAAGCAAAGTGCAAAGCAATTTTTTTGCCGAAGGGTTCAGGAGTCTTCAGGCTGGCTGGAACACCAGCACAAGCTGGACCCCAGGAATAAGGTAGGTGGGTGCTAGGACTTGTCTGTGTGTTGCTGGCAGTGGTCAGTGCTCAATGATCTTAGCAGGAAATATGGAGACTATGAAATTGAATATGTACTGTGCTTGTCAGAACCACGGTGCTTAGCACACAAAAACCTCTTAAAATCGCAAAAGTGCCTCAAAACTTCTTCATAAACCAGCACAAGAATAGAGTACTGTGTTCCCAACATTATGGATGGAAAAACCTCACAGAACAAAGTCCCAGCCCTTATCACAATTGCTTCCTGGTAGGAAGCAAGGCTAAACAGAGCCCAAGGCCAATCGAAGCCTGCTTGGAAACCTTGTCTCTTGTTGCTCTAGGTATCAAAATAGGAAGTAAACAGCTTAGGAACAGTGCTGAGAATGGTTTGGAGGAAGTACAGTTTCCTCTCCATGCACTTGCTAAATTTGCTTATCTTTCATGCTCTCAGCATCCCCCCTTTACTCACTGCAGTCAGCAAATGCTGCAGAGGCCTTGCAGAAATGACCTAGAAAAATAACATTTATACAGAAATCTACTGACAACTCACATCTCTGAGAAGCTTTGCAGTGCTCTGCCTGAGAACAAGGGCTTGGAGAGTGCTGATTTAGTGGGAACAGCAGCATATCACAGCCCTCAGACCTTCTCTGTCCAAAGTCCAAGATCTGCACCAAAGACACACCTCAGCTAGGAGGTGATCTTACACCTTAGCTGAAGATGCAACCTGGGTCTGATTTTCACCCTATTTATACATGTATGGTTGTAAGTCATATGTATGGATGGATATAAATTTATGGTGGTAATGAATGGTATAAATTTATACATGTATGGTTAAAACCCTTTGAAGTACTTTATTTGCATCACTTAATGGCTTTCATTTAGCTTTCTTTGGATTTTGCAAAAACAACAAAAAACACACACAAAAAAAAAAAAAAAAAAACTTTATATGAGCACTAATACATGGGCCATCTGTGAAAGATAATGCTTTGATATATGAAGATATTTTTTCTGAACATACAGATGAAGGATACCTGATCTTTTAACAAGAGATATGAAGATCTTATTGTCTTAGGTGAGGGCTCTGAGGAAAGATTGGAAAACAGTAAACCTAATTATGAAAGAGATGTAAGGGCTATACACGTCACCAAGGCTTTGACCTTGTGGAGAGCAAATCAGAACTGACATCATATGTGTCACCAGTATCAGGATCCAAGTGAACCAAGTTAGTACTGGTAAATTATGAGTTGTTGTTGTTGTTGTTGTTTTACACAGTTACAGGATCTTTCTTCTTCAAACACATTGTCCTTTCTCCCCAGGAGAAATTTTGCCAACTTGCTCGACCCGTCAGGTTACGTAAAACATATTTAAACTATCCTTTCTATGCTACCATTAAACTTCCTATTCTCTTTCTCCCCCACATTTTGTGACACTGTCAATACAACTCTAAACTGACACAGGGATGTCCCAGTTCAGTTGATGTTTCCATTTAACTGATAGTAACAAAGTGCATGTAAGATTTGGCCTCAGAGCTAAGAATCTATAACTTTCCTAAGTCTTAACAAGGAACACCAAATGTAACAACAAAATGAACTGTAAATATACATT